CTTTTTTATTATTGGAAAATACATTTACAGAGAGAAGGAAAGACAGAGAGAAAGATCTTCCATTTGCTGGTTCACTCCCAAGAGAAAGCAACAGCTAGAGCTAAGCTGATCCAAAGCTAGGAACCAGGAGCTTCTTCCAGGTCTCCTAAGCAAGTGCAGGGGCCCAAGGCTTTAGACCATCCTCAACTGCTTTCCCCCACAATCAGGGAGCTGGATGGGAAGCAGGGCCTTTGGGATTAGAACTGGCACCCATATGGGATCTTGGTATGTTCAAAGTGAGGACTTTAGACACTAGGCTACCATGCTGGGTCCGGAATTCTGTACTTTAAAAAGGTGAATTTTGGGGCCTGGCGCAATAGTGTAATGGTTAAGGTCCTCGCCTTGAATGTGCCAGGATCCCATATGGGCACTGGTTCTAATCCTGGCAGCTCCACTTCCCATCCAGCTCCCTGCTTGTGGCCTGGATAAGCAGTTGAGGACGGCCCAAAGTGCTGGGACCCTGAACCCGCATGGGAGACCCGGGAAGAAGTTCCTGGATCCTGGCTTCAGATTGGCTCAGCACCTGCCATTGCAGTCACTTGGGGAGTGACGCATTGGACAGAAGATCTTCCTCTCTGTCTCTCCTCCTCTCTGTATATCTGCCTTTCCAATAAAATAAATATTTTTTTAAAAATAAAGGTGAATTTTGTAAAATATAAGCTGTATTTCCAAAATGTCAGTTAAAAAAATATTGCAGGGCCTGACACAATGGCTCAACAGGCTAATCCTCCAGCTCCTAGGGCAAGCACTGCATGTCAGCACCAGTTTATGTCTTGGCTGTTCCACTTTCAATCCAGTTCCCAACTTATGGACTGAAAAGGCAGCAGAGGATGACTCTAGTCCTTGGGCTGCCCTGTACCCTATATAGATTGCTCTTTTGAGTCCCTGCTGCTCTGCTTCTAATCCAGCTACCTGCTAATGTGCCTGGGAAAGCAGTGGAAGATGGCTTAGATACTTGGGCTTCTGCAACCCACATGGGAGACCTGGATGGATCTCTGGATTCATGACTTGCCAGGACCCACCCCAGGTCATGGAGATAATTTGGAGAGTGAATCAGCAGATGGAACACATCTTTTCTGTTACTCTGCTTTTCAAATGCATAAATCTTTAAAAAAATATGACTTGGCAGTTAACAAAAATGGCATAGATGAAGTATGTTCAAAAATGAATGGAACAATAAGATTCAAAGATCAGTTTTGAAGACTATGTCTTTTCCATGAACATTTTGAAGATCACGCCTGTGCATGGATTTAAGTTTTTTTGGCCCCAAATAAACTTATCTTTTAAAGGTAATTTTTAAGAAGATTTTATTTACTTGGTAGGCAAAGTGACAGAGAGATGAAAAGGAAAATAGAGCAGAACTAGTATCCACTAGTTCACTTTCCAAATGCCCACAATGTCGAGGGCCAGGCCAGGCCAAGTGGATGTCTGGGGCCTCAAATTCCATCCTGGCAGGGGTCCACGCACTTGGGTCATCACTGGTTTTCTTCTCAGTGCATTAGCAGGGATTTGGATCAAAAGTGGAACAACCAGGCTCAAAATTGTGCTCTGATAGGCAATGCTGCATTACAGGCAGCGGCTTAATCAATAATGCCACAATACTGGCCTCTACACTGACGCTTTAATTGTATTTTCCACGAACTTTCTGAAATACTCTGTTAATGTAAACGTAAAGAAAATTTCTTTTTGAAAATACTATACACACATAGAAACATCTTAAACCTCTCTTAAATCCAGACTTGATCTCCAGAAAGAAACACAAAGGCAAAAGCAAAATTACTTAAAGGACGTCTTATGGGGAAATAATTATTTACAACAAAGTGGGGATGGTGTTTGGCACAGTGGTTAAGACACTGCTGCCTGGGATGCCTGTATCCCAAATCAGATGCCTAGATTTGAGTCTCACTGCCCTCTACAGCATCCTAAAATGTGTACCTTGGGAGTCAGCTTGAGTGTTGGGTCTCTGTCACCCACAGACGTGACCTGGAATGAGATCCTGGCTCCTGGCCTCTGTCCGACCTAAACCATTCCTGGCCTTTGTGGGCATTTGGGGGATTGGATGAGCAGATGGCATATTTGTTTCTCTTTCAAACAAATAAAATTAATTTTTTAAAAATAAAAATTTGCAAAGTCCAAAAGCTAAATAATACAAGCTATATTACATTTTTCCAATTAAGAAACACTTCATAGGAAGAATACAGGGAGCAGTAAATTGGCTAACGCCTGCAGTTAATTGTTGACAGGTCTTAGCAAAGCTAACTAATTCCGTGTACACACTGCCTTTGGGAGTAGCTGAAAACACATTTGGTGATTTCTTCTCATTTGGAGGATTTGTGGGATGACTTATGTTAACATACTTTTACAGAATTGCTTTGGCTTATTGACATTCATAAAAATTACACTTCCTTGTGTTCTAAAATGCAGCAAAGTCCTCTGACATCTGCATAGCATTTAAAATGGTATCATTTCTAATTTTCATTAAAATTCCTTAAAGTCAGTATGATTTCCATTTCACGTACCAGGAAAGGAAAACTCAGAGACACTGTGTACTTTGCCCAAGGTCACAAGTACTAAACTGGTGATTTGAGAAATGAAACCAGATCTGGAAGAAGCTTATTCTGAAGGACTCACCAACAGATGAAAACCCCAACATAACCAGGTCTCCTCAGAAGTATTTTCTACTAATGATGCTCTTTATAGAAAATAGCTTACGAATGCCAGCTTTATTTTCTGGTCACCTACTCGGTCACTTAAGTAAATGTCTTCTACACTCAGGATATTTCAGAGGCTGATGACGGTCATGGAGATGGGAATCCAAAGGAGAGCTGGGGGAGCATGATACCCACTGAGCATAATGGGGGTGTCGCTTACCAGCGTAGGGGGCTGCAGCTTGGAGCACTCAACACCTCACTGACTCCCAACTGCCACGCGTGCTCCTTACCAAGTGACCCCTTTGTTGCTTCCTTCTCTTTCAGACTTACACTTTGTGTTTCATTTGGGGGGGGGGGGAGCTAAGAAAGTCTTCTTCCTTTCAAGTCTTCAAGCCTGTAGGCCTGTGGCAAAACACTTCCTGGAAGAAGGCAACCTCCTCATCGGTCGAGTCCCACAGAATTATTATTCTTTCACCTTGCTGTGTTTATCATCACAAGAGCACACATGTTTGCTGCACTGTCGTCTTGCTGACCTTCTGTTTATTGTCCTGCGCCACCACTTCCCACAGATGCAGGATCTTTGTCTGGTCACCACTGACACCCGATTTTTAAACTCCACTCAGGTAACATCTTGCACTCACAGGAACTCTCGAATATGAATGCTGTGCTAACAAGGAAACGCCTGAGGTTATTTTTTCCTAGACATGTCCGTTTATCTCCCCCCATATTCTCAACACTTTTATCTGATTATCTTCTAAAATGCACGCGGGAACTTTGCTTTTCAGAAATAATCTTCAAAGTGTTCTATTACAGGATCGTGACCAGACATAACTGTCAAACACGCAAGGTTAGGCAAACAGAACCAGGACATCCAGGAAGGTTCGTTTTCCTAGCCAGCGTCCCGAGGGTAAAATTTAAGCACCCTGTGGAGCAAACAGGCACCAAATGGAGGGAATCCAGCGTGCCCCAGACAGAGCTCGGCGCCCGCAGCCCTCCTTGGGGGTGCAGGGTGCAGCGGGACAGTCCAGATGGGTCTCCGTGGTCCTCCAGCCTTGCAGGGTGGTCGCCATGGCGCGCTCCCCCGCGCCTCGTCCCCGGGATCCCAGCGGTGGAGGGGGGGATGGAGGGAATCGCTGCCTCCCCCTGGGCTGGTTTCTCTATATAGGCTGTCAAGTCGGACAAATCCCCCAAACTTCAGGTCTCCGGCACCATTTAAACTTCAACTGACACCTGGATGGAGTCAAGATGGCAAACCCAGGGCTGACTACTCGGACGTCCCTCGCTCCTCCTCGCACCGGGGCCCTGGCGGCGTCGCCCTCCGCTCAGGCCTGGATTGCCTTTCCCGCCGGGCGAGGAGGCGGTCGGGGGCCGCCGAGCGCCTGAGGACCCTGCTCCAGCTTCCCGAACTACAGATCCCAGGGTGCCTCTCGGACTCGCCCCCTCCCTCCCTCGCTCCCTCGCTCCCTCGCTCCCTCCCTCCGTCGGTCTCCTCCTCCTCCTCCTCCTCCCCGGCCCTTGTTGTTGTGGCTGGAAGCGCTCCGAAGGAGTTTGCAGAGAAAAGTCTGGGCACCACACGGAGCTGGGCCCGAACGTGGGAAGGGGCGGACGAAGAGGGAGCTCGCCGTCCGGAGAGGGAGGGCTCGGGACCCGGGGCAGAGCCGCTTAGAACCTGCCGCGCGCCCCGGGGTGGGGGAGGCGGCCGGGGAGGAGCGCGAGGGGACGGGACAGTGGGATCCCTCCCAGGAGCCGCGCCGAGCGCCTAGTTCCTCCGCCGCTCCCCGCCCTCCTCGGCGGCCGCGAGAGTGGACCCACCCTCCGGCCGGACCCGCGACCTCTCCAGCGCCCGCCCGCTCTTCGCCTTGGAATCGGCAGCTCCCTTCCCTGGCCTGGGACCTGCCCTGCGTCCGCTGCCCGCGGGGAGCTTGGCGGTTTCCCTTTTCCTCCCCGCTTCCCGGGCGCCGCTGGAGCAGTGACCCGCCCTCCTCCGAGGAGAGGAAAAAGGAGAAAAGATCGCGCCCGGCTCCCCGCGACCGAGGGCGCACAAGCGGGACTGGGCTCCGTGTATGTGTGTGTGTGTGTCCCGCTGTCCCTTTCGGAAAGCTCTTGGCGGAGGTCCGGTCCCTCGGGGGGCGGAGCGCAGAGGACCGAGGCTCGGGCTCCGTGTCGGGGCAGAGTCCCGGGGAGCCCCAGCGCTGCTCGGTTCAGCGGCGGCCGGCGGGACGGCGAGGTGGGCGCGCTGAAGACGGAGGCCGGCGCGCCTTGGGTCCCGCGGCAGCCCCGGCTCACGTTCCGCTCCCGCCCGGGGACCTTCGCGGGAGAAGCTCGACCTCACCGCGCCAGCGCGCCGCCCAGCCTTGCCAGCCCCGACGGCCCGGGCTGCGCCCACCCGCCCCTCCGGCTATCCTGTCCAGAGCCCTGATAGGCGCGCACCATGAGTGGTGGCGAAGTGGTCTGCTCGGGATGGCTCCGCAAGTCCCCGCCGGAGAAAAAGTTGAAGCGTTATGTAAGTAAGAACCCCGGCCGCCGCGCCCACACCCCTCCTCGGGCCGCTCTTCTCGGCTTCTCCCCCGGCCGCTGCCCGGGCAGCCTCGGGACTCCAGTGCTGTTCACTCTCGCCCTGGCTCCACTTGACCAGGAACTTCACAGCTTCCGATTACAACCGCGCTGTTTCTCGGGCCTCGTCGCCCCATCGGAGGGCCTGGGCTTCCAGCTGAACGCTACTGCATGTTTTCCTTATTCCTTAAACAGGGGTGGGGTGCCTCAAGGAGGGAAGCCGTCACCTCGCTTTGATAGCTGCCAGTCTGGCCCCAGATTTCGCGTACTAAGAAAACCACCGCCTGCTCCCCTGTAGTCCATCTGTCGCTCCTTGTACCCTCTAGCCGGACCTGAGAAACTAATAGGAAATACCAGCATCTCGAGTGCGCGCAAAAAGGGCAAAGAAAGGAAAGTTCTTAACGCGCCCTGCCGTTTGCCTAGCAGGGTTCACATGTTCGCATTTTTGAATTGAGAGACAACTGAGGTTTGGCTGGAGAGCTTTGGCGGTTGCCTGCGAGAGGAGGGCGCTGGGGGGAGCCTGGTGGCTGGTGTCTGTGCGCGTGGGACTCGGGACTCGCTGTCAAGCCCCGCAGGAGGGGTGGGGAGTTGGGCAGCTGAAGCCAGAGGGGTTTCTGTATGCTGCGGTCTTTTGCCAGGGCACCAGAGTGGTTTATGGAATTTCTGTGATTGCTACAATATGCAGACGTCGTCTTAGCTGTTAGGAACAATGTTCCTTGAAAGAAGCAGCCTTGCTAGAGTGGGAATCGTGCCCTCTTCAGGACTCTGCTGTCTTAGTCCGTCTCCTCTTCGGTTCTTTTGTCACCGACCCCTGCCCATGTCTTTCTCTAAGATGCGTTTTCCAAATAAAAGGAGGACTCCTTGACCTCCCGAACGCCACTGGTCTGAGTGGAACCTGCTTCTTGCAGAAGGACACCTACGTTTGGTATTGAGCACCAGTTAATCCTGTTAGTCAACTGTTGACTTGCATGGCACAGAGTGAAGTGTGATATTTAACTTCACTGACAGCTCCCTAGTGAGTTTCTGGTTTACTTTCCATTTGTTATGGAAAACTGATGTTGTGGAAGGATTGGATACCACCAATCAGAAACCCCGCCTCTCCATCACTCATATCCTGGCAAAGGTACATATTTTATTCCAAACATTTAGCAGAAGCAAGGGCAGGGTGGTTGTTTTGTTTTGCTTCAGTTTTTAATTCCAAAGGGAAGGTTCCAAAGGAGGATAGATGCATTTATCTTGAGAAGGTGCAGTTTAGGAAAAACATGAACCTACAATTGAGTTCTTGGGAGAACTAAAGAGTAAAGCATTAGTTAAATTCGCCAGAGGTTGTAGGATTGAGTGCTTTCTTTTGCATGGTTAGTTTATGACTCACTCAAATAGACATCAAGGGTGTACTAGGCACCAACCCTGGTGCTAGAAAACCCAGTGGGAAAGAACCCTGCCTCTTAAGCTTGCGGTGATAGGTAAGAGTTCTCAGGAAGGGGCCAGTAGGTTGGCTCAATTGGCTTATCCTCAGCCTCCAAGCAGCAGGATCCCATGTGAGCACTGGTTCATGTCCCAGACAACCCATTTCCCATCCAGCTGTCTGCTTATGGCCTGGGAAACAGTGGAGGATGGCCAAAACTTTGGGATTCTGTACCTGCATAGGAGACCGGGATGACACTCCTGGCTCCCTGTTTGGATCTGGCTGTTGTGTCCATTTGTGGAGTAAGCTGGTGGATGAAAGATGTTTGTCTCTCCTTCTCTGTAAATCTGCCTTTCAATTAAAAAATGTTATATACATACACATATATGTGTATATATATATATATATATATATAAAGTTGTCAGAAAGAAAAGCAACCAAAACAATTACATATTGGGCCCAGTGCAATGACTCGGTGGCTCATTCTTTGCCTTGCATGCTCCTGCATCCCCTATGGGTGCCAATTCGTGTCCCAACTGACTGATTTTCCATCCAGCTCCCTGCTTGTAGCCTGGGACAGCAGCAGAGGCCAGCCCAAGGCCTTGGGACCCTGCACCCGCGTGGGAGACCCAGAGGAAGCTCCTGGCTTCAGATGTGGAGCTTAGACTTGGTCATCTCTAAAAGTCTATTCAGGATCTGGTATCTGACTCTGTATTAGTTAATGCAAGGAACAGGTAGGCCATGGCTCAGCTGCACAAAGCTAGTCTTTGCCTTCCAACAGATTTATGAGTCTGTAGGGTGATGAGATGAGACTATGTGAAAACATTGGCTAACAGTGACCAGATAAGTGGTTTAGATATTTTATAGCTTTTTTTTTAAAGATTTATTTCTTTGAGCGGGTTCCTGGAGGGACAATGGGAGGGCGGCAGGGAGAGAGAAACAGAGAGATCCATCTTCTGTCCCCTGCTTCACTCCCCAAATACATGCCACATCTGGGCCAAACTGAAGCCAAGAACCAGAACTTCATCCAGGTTACCCAGGGTGGTAAGGGCCCAAGCACTTGAACCATTTCTTGCTGCTTTTCCAGGTACATTAGCATGGAGCTGGATAGGAAGTGGAGCAGCCAAGACTGGAACCATGAGATGCCAGTGTTGCAGGCTTTGAATTAACTTGTGCCACAATGCTGTCCCCTTTATGGATATTTTATTTATTTATTTTTTTAAAGATTTATTTTTATTATTTTTTCATTGGAAAGGCGGATATACAGAGAGGAGAGACAGAGAGGAAGATCTTCCGTCCGATGATTCACTCCCCAAGTGAGCGCAACGGGCCGATACTATGCCGATCCGAAGCCAGGAGCCTCTTCTGGGTCTCCCACGTGGGTGCAGGGTCCCAAAGCCTTGGGCCATCCTCGACTGCCTTCCCAGGCCACAGGCAGGGAGCTGGAAGGGAAGCGGGGCTGCCGGGATTAGAACCGGCGCCCATATGGGATCCCGGGCGTGCAAGGCGAGGACCTTTAACCACTTGCGCTACCGCGCTGGGCCCCCCTTTATGGATATTTTAAAACATAAGCTTATGTAGACTGAAATCCTACAGATGCTTGAGACAAGCCCTAAGTGTTATTTTCAGTAGTGGGCAGTATTTCCTGGTGCAGCATTAGTTTCCTTTTTAAAATTTTTTATAACATGTATTTAGAAAGCAGAGGAGAGACAGAAAGATCTTCTATCCACTGGTTTACTCCCCAGATGGCTGCAGTGGACAGAGCTGAGCCAGTCTAAGCACAGGAGCCTCTGTATTCTCCGAGGTCTCCTGCATAGGTGCAGGGTCCCAGGCTGGGTCATCTTCTACTGCTTTCATAGGCTGTAAGCATGGAGCTGGATGGGAAGTGGAGCAGCAGAACATGAACTGGCACATATGAGATTCTGGTGCGAACAAGTGGTTAGCCATTGAGTTATTGTACCAGGCCCAGCAGTTAATTAGTTTCTTCCTTTCTTTTTTCTTTCCTTTTTTTCTTTTTTGAAGGTGTAAAATCTTCCATTTGCTGAGGTTCACTCAACAAATGGTCTTAACTGCTGGGGCTAGGCATGGCTGACTCCAGGAGCCTGGAGGAGTTTCACCTGAGTGTCTTATGTAGGTGTGGGGCCCCAAGGATTTGGGACCTCTTCAACTGCTTTCCAGGCACATTAGCAGGGTGTTGGATCAGAAGGAAGCAACTGGGACTTGAACCCATATGGGATGCCATTGCAGGTGGTAGCTTTATCTGCTATACTATAATGTTGGCCCTGGCATTTTTTTTTTATGAGTAGCATGCATGCAGATAGTACAGTAGACTGTAGGCAGGGTGCCTCAGAATTGACGGCCCAGGAGGACCAGGAGTGTTTCCTTGGTTTATCTGTTGAAGTAGTTGCTTAGAATATTTTTTTATTTTCTCAGATTAATGATCTTTTGGTTTTAATATCTAATTAGGATACTTCCTGCTAAATAAGTTTTGGTCATGGAAATGCAGGTGTATGCATGGATTTTCTGTGCTTGTTTTCATGTGGACTATTTTCTGGATAAAAGGGAACATTATTGGCTACCCAGTTGGCAAAATATTACTTGATAATGGATTTTAATGAATGGATTTTCTGTGAAAGGATATCTTGGAGGCTTAGAACTATAATTATGAAATAAGAATTCTGGCATTTAAGAGCATCCTGATTCCGTTGGGAAATATTTCACCCATGGGGTTTTGTCAGTTGTCTCACTGTTTACAGTGTTTATAGAATAGTCCAAATACTAATTATTGTAGTATGAAGGGCTTTGAAGATGAAAAATCATTTTAGTTTTAGCTTTAAAGATATCTCAAATTATGGCCTTCTGCAAGTCCTTTTACAAATCCACAATAAGTTGGGTCATTTCCTAGTCAATTTCAGCAGCATTATTTTCATGCATGTACAAGCCTCTTGAATTTTCTTAAGTTTTTAGATGTATTTATTTACATATTTGAGAGGCAGAGAGAGAGAGAGAATGATCAAAAGTGAGCCCTGGCCTTCTATGCATGTTTACTTCCATGCTCTTGCCACCCAGGCTAATGCCCTGAGCTAGAACACAATCCAGTTGTCTCACACTGGTGGTAGGAGCCTGGTCACTTGGGTCATCACCCTTGCTTTCTAGGGTCTGTAAGAGCAGGAAAATGGAATTGAGAGCTGGAGCCAGGGATTGCATAGAGGTGCAACTGGTGAGTTAACTACCAGGACAGACCAACTGAGGTTTCTAAAGAGAGGGAAAGAGATGAAATAAAAGCAAATACTGGAGTGCTGAGAAGATACTCTAGATTTTTCTTATGTTTTTATTTAAAGATTTATTTATGTATATTGAAGAGGCATATTTACAGAGAAAAGGAGAGACAGAAAGATCTTCCATCCTCTGGTTCATTCCCTAAATGGCCACAATGGCTGGAGCTGAGCCGGTCTGAATCCAGGAGCTTCTTCCAGGTCTCCCATTTCCCATATGGGTGACAGAGGCTCAAAAGAACTTGGGCCCTCTTCCATTGTTTTCCCAGG